TGCCCCCAGGTCTCTCTCTTTCCACCAGTTTGATATCGTCTCTGTTTCTGTCAGAGACATTGTGATACAGCCAACCTTATGTCAGTATCACATCTTTGGACTTCCTAGCCACTGGAATTGTGAGTTAAATAAACCTCTTTTCTTTCTTTCTTTCCCTTTTTAAAATTTTTTTTTTTTTTTAAGAATTATTTTATTTGGGACCAGCAGTTTGCGTAATGACTATGTCACTGGATTCCCATGTAGTTGACTGTTGTTCAAGTCCTAGACCCGGTGGCTTAAACTCATGCCGGGCACATGTGCATGCATGTCCAAGAGCCTGAGAGGAGAATGGAAGAGAAGGGATTGCAGTCTGGCCATCTCCCCTGGGGAGTGATTTCTCAGTTTCTGTTTCTCTGTCTCTTTCTGTCTTTCTGGCAGGTGCATGTGCCCTATAGCGAAAAAGAAAAAAAGAATTATTTTATTTAGCTTTATTTATTTATTTATTTTAATTTTACCAGAGAGAAACAGAATGAGAAAGAGAAGGAATGTGAAAAAGCAAGCCACCAGGTCCAGGACTCAAACCACAGTGGACCATGTGGGAGTCCAGGACCCTTAACTGCCATGCCACCTGCCACTGCTAAACCTCTATTCTTTACAATTTACCCAGCTTCACATATTCTGTTAGCAACACCATAGGAGATTAATACCATCTTTTTTTTTTTTTTGGAGAAGTTTTTGCTATAGGGCACGGGCGCTCGCCAGAGGGACAGAGAGAGACATAGAGACAGAAAGCGAGAAATCACCCCCCAGGGGGGATAGTCACGCCGCAATCCTTTTTCCTCCATTCTCCTCTCGGGATCTTGGGAACACACGCACATGCGCCCGGCGTGAGTTTTAAACCACCAGGTCTGGGACACGAACTGTGGTCTACTATGTGGAAGTCCAGCAACATAGCCATTACGCTAACTGCTGGTTCCCAAGACTATCTTTTTTGCTCACTATGCTTGAACATCTGCACCACAGCCAATATCTGGTGTTCCTGACTCTGGTTTCTCATTTTTTCAACTCATTCTACAATTCATAGATGGTAGGTTTCCATATTCTGTTTTTCAAGGTGCCTAATTTCATTCCTGTCTCCTATTAACTTATCTTCTCACCTACTCTCACTTCTAGGAGGGTGGGCATCTACCTTTAGCTAGTAATCCACTGAAGCTCCATAAATGCTCTGGTCTTTTTCTCTGACCTTTCTCATAATTTTCTTCTACCTGGGAACGCCCAAATAGATCACCACTTGTGTAAGTCTTAACCTCCCTTCATAGTGCAGTCAAGCCCCATGTCTCCATAAAGGCCCCTCCTGAAGGTCCCTCCTGATCCGCTGCCTTCGTTGTTTCTGAACCTTGGAATAGCCACTGCCGCTTCATACGTGGGGCGGCTACTTTCCATTGTTCCTTTTCAAGAAAGCTGAAGTTCTTTTGTTCAACAAGACTAAGACACTGACTTCAGGATACCCTAGTTCCTAGGGCAGAGCCTAGCACAAAACTGGAATTCAGGGTTGAATGACAGAATAAATTAAATGGCGAGCTAACAATGCCTGTTCCATCGCTGAGACTCGAAGCTGTGAGAAAGGTCTCTATGTCTAAGGAACTTGGAAGAAGCAGGGGGTTGCAGGTCTTTGCAAGTCCTGAGTTGAGGAGAAAACCAACTGCAGATTTTGGGTTTCAGCTGAGATCTATGATAGGCTCATTCCTCTATATCGGATTTCTGTTCTTAATTTTTACAATCTGAAGTGGGAAAAAAAAAATTCTCTATGTTAGACTGTGTCTGGTTGAGCAGTTTTCTCTAATCTTAACATAGAGGTGTTCTCTGACAGTGGCCTCGGCATTGAGCTGTTCCCAGTAAGCTCAGAAAGTGTCTGCAGACTGAATTCCAGGATTCGGGAAACGGATTGAAACGGTCTCTAAATCTTTGCAGGCTACCTGCCCTTAGCTCCAGTAAAGGACTAGAAAAACTCTTCCTTTTCTGAGAAGGAAAGAACCTCTCTCACCGCGAGGCCCTATAGCTCAGGGGTTAGAGCACTGGTCTTGTAAACCAGGGGTCGCGAGTTCAAATCTCGCTGGGGCCTTCTCGGTTTTGATCCTCTTTTGAAAAAATTTTCCTTTCTGATTATTCTTAAAAGCCCGAAGAAATCTGTCTCATTAAGCTTATCCTTGTGGTGGAGACCTCTCAAATGTGTACTGAGCGAACACGCATTCTTTTCAGTTCCGGTGCTCGTGATCGAGTACAACTTTGCTTCCTGTAATGTGGCAGAGCCGGTTAGGAGCTGAGGGAAGTGCTGCCTTCCTGCACCCTGGCCCCGGCTATGCAAGTCCGCCACGAAGCCCTTCTGGCCGTCAGAACCAGTGTCCCGAATCTGCGGCACCGGAGTGGGGGCGGGGGGTGGGGGAAGCCAGAAAAGAGACCCGGATAGAGCCCTTTAAGCACCGGTTCTGGACAAATTTGGGGTTAAGAACAAAGACCCTCCCCCTAAGAGGAAGCTGATGACAGCCGTTCCCGTCAGGCGTCCAGGGGGTGCCTGCTGTCCGGCGAGGTGTCCGTTTCACTGGGATTTTGGACACCTCAGTAGCTCAGCGGGGACAATGAAGGACCCGCACTTTGACACTTGGGTCACTACATTTGTTACTGATTGACTCAAAGAAATTGTGGTTTCTTTGTCGAAAAACACACAAGTATTTTCTCCAAAGAGAACTGTCACAGAAGCATTGGGTTTACCAATGGGTATTATATTCCACGTCCTCTCCCTCCCCCGAGCCTGTGGACGTGTAAGCGGAAGAGAGGGGCAGCTGTCCTCGCAGGCGCGCCAGGATTGGGAGGCGAGCACAGGAAGTGAGGAAAGGAGGGGCGCCCTGGGCTGTGCCCTCGCGCCCGCCCTCCCTCTTCCCCTTCCCGCGGCTCGCAGTGGCTGGGTCGCTGTGCCTCCCGCCTCAGCCCCAGTTCTCCGAGGCCGGGCGCCCGCCCCCACCTTGCACACGCGCGCGCACGCACGGACCTCAGCCGCGTCCGCGCGCTCGGCGATGCCCACGCCCCTGGGCGAGCAGAGGTCGTGCACATCGGGATGTCCCGCGCGGGGGGCGCTTTTGAGGAACCCGCGCGGGAGTCCCGCTTGGAAGCCCCTCCAGTGGATCAGGAGAATTCGGGTCTAGAGAGTTTTCCAAAACCGCGGCACCAGAACTTTCTCACGCGCTAGTTTGGAACTCTCATTCGTCAGAAACTAGAATATCAATTCTCGCCCGCCTCTGGAGGCCGAATTTCTGAATAGGGAATTCTGGAGATTGCTCTCTAGCGCTCCCTTCGATAGCTCAGTTGGTAGAGCGGAGGACTGTAGGTTCTTTGGGCGTGTAGTCATCCTTAGGTCGCTGGTTCGATTCCGGCTCGAAGGAAGAGCTGCTGTTTTGGGGTCCGTAATGTTTCCTAAATCAAACCGGTTTCTTCACTAGTTGTAATCCTTACCTGTTCCTGTTACTAAGAAATACAACCTGGCTTAGTCACCACTAATTAACTTCCTTCTAAAAGGTTGATCTGTTGGGCAAAATTCTGTTTTGGCTTGTAGTTTATTCTTGTGTCGTCTAAAGTCCAAAGTTCGAAGATTAAGGCTACTCGTTGATACAGCAGACTAGACATAGGCACGCGTGTGCATGTCTGTGCCCTCGGGCCTAAGGGGCTGATTATGGAACAATTCGGCAACTGTGACCTTCAGCCCGGGTGTCTGCCCATACTCTATGCACACAGATTAAGGAAGAGCCACTTGTATTTAGGTATTTTTATAGTGCGACAAAAAGATTTTGCGCTGAGACAGGAAGAAAGGAGGAATAGGATTTGATGTGAGTTGAGATGAAACTGGGAAAATGAATTCCAGACCAAAGAAACAATTGAATCAAAGGTGGGAAGTGGAAAACTTCAATTCTATTTAGAAAAACTGAGAAGTGTCTTGCAACATTCGAACACGCTTCTAACCGGTTCACGTCAACCACTTTTATTGATATAATTTCAGGGGTACTCCGCTCCCGGAATTTTGATGGTCACCAGTCCCGCCTCTTGGACATCTTGCTCGCTTTAGATAGTGGCAGGCAGGTAGTAACCGTCCCGCGCGTCTATCATGGCGCTCAGGACCTCACAGCCTTTTGCAAACAAGCTCCGCTCCGGCCCTTGAACTCCGACCCGGCTCCCCTTCCGGCTCCCCCGAGGTTGGAGCTCGCTGCTAGAGTTGTCCCGACCCGCTCAGTGGCATTCAAGTGTGTGGCTTCTGTTCTGAAAAGCTGCCTCCTAGGACGTGGAACAAGGAGAATAAATGGGGCTAGGGCTGGAGGCAGACGTGGTGAGAAGACAGAACTGAACAAAGCAGGAAGAAACTGTCACAACTGGAAAACTTTGGAACAGCCTCCCAGCCAGTTTCTGAAACGCGTATTTCAGAGGGAACAGGAGAAAAGTGCACATGTCGTGGCTCGTTGGTCTAGGGGTATGATTCTCGCTTTGGGTGCGAGAGGTCCCGGGTTCAAATCCCGGACGAGCCCTCTGTTTCCTATTTTTCGCTCTCCCAAAAGCTTTCACCTTTCGCAGGTCTTGGGAAAACGTTAAGTTCTGTACAAACTTTGTCGTTTTTAAATTGCCCTGTAGAAGGGAGCAGCACTGAATGAACACGTGGCCGGTGAGACTAGTGGCAACTGTCCTGCCAGTGAGACAGTTGTCTGGATGGAACTCCCTGGGTTCTAGGTTCTAGGATGCTCCGCCAGGGGACACACCTTGCTCAGTATCCAGCCGCCTGCTGTCCCTGATGTGTCCTCGCTGTTGCTGCCGGTGGGTTTCCGGCTGGAGCAGGAGCCTGGAGGCCGGGCCTAGTTCTCAGCCTGGGCGGGGACCGTCCCGCTACGCCTGGGGCTGGGTTTGCAGCGGCGCCTGCTCCAGGGGCGGATCCAGGCGGGAGGGGCCTCTTCCAAGAAATGGGGCGCGGCCCTAACTGCACAAGGATTCGCACGCAAGTTGTCCTTCCTCTTCTCGTTGCAACTCTATCTCCAGCCGTGCACACACACACACTCACTTACACACGCACGCACGCACGCCTACCCCACGCAGATCCAGAACAACATCTCTGCTTTTTCCGCCAGCTCCCTACCATCCTACTAGGGAGAAAGAAGCGGGTGAGAAACAAAAGCTCTTTCCACTATCCTGCAGGTTTCACCACCCTATTTGGATTCACATTCCTGCCCCTCTTCCTTTTTTTTTTTTTTTTGGGCGCTTCTTTCGGAGC